AAAGCTTTTTCTTTCTCTTTTAACTTTTCTTTCAATAATATTTTTTCTACATCTTTTTCTTTATCTCTCTAAAATTTATCTTATTTCCATCTCTCAAAATTTTTATTTTCATATCATTACATTAGCAACGACAAAAATTTCTGTAGGGTGAGGCCTCCGCTTCAAAAATAGGGAATGCATGTCCCACCCTCATCCCCGATTCCATTTTTAAATAATTAATATATATTTTATTAACATAATTACTTAATTGTGAATAAAATATTAAATATTTTTAAAACTAATTATTTATACTAGTAAATAATAATTTTAAACATAATTTATATATATTTATTACACTTTTTTATTTTTTAATATCTAAAAATAATTAAAATTTATTACAAAACCGGTAATTTTTCGAGCGAATATCACTATCTCAAATAAAGATTCTTTAGTCTAGATCTTAATTCCCAAATTGAAGAATGAGGTGGAGATGGTGGACTAAAGAATTTCACGAGCACAAGAATAGTAGGGTGCATCTTCACTCTCGTCCTACACTATTGTCATCCCTACCCTACTTAGAATTTTGTCTCTAATATATATTTCAAATTTTATAAATTTAAAAAAAAAACAAAAAATAGTTATCAAATAGGTTTTGTTTTCAAACAGGCGCCTCTAAGAGATTTGTTAGCAACGTTTAAATTTTGGAATTATTAAACTATAAAATATAAAATTTATTAAAAACTTATTATATACAGGTAGTAAAGTTTGGAATTATTAAATATAAAATATAAAATTTATTAAATACTTTTTAAAATATAAAAACATATTATATCTATTAAGTATTGAATATTACAACTAGTGGGCAGCTTTTAGGTAGTTGTCGACCATTTCATTTGGCCCAAACGACAACGTTGCACAATTTCCAACAGAGATTGTTTGTCCTGAATGGGCAGGTGATATATATCATTTCTAAGAGAGATTTCTAAAATCTCTCACTTGCCCCCACTAGATGCTCTCCTGAATAGACAGCTGATATATATCATTTCTGCCCAACATTTGTCGCCATATTGATCGACTATTTGTTTAATAAAAAAAGATAATTCTAATTCTAATAACAGTCAACTTGAGTAYGATTCAACGAGTTAAAAGTACATATAGTGAYTAGAAGGTCGTGAATCTTCTATTAATATTTGTAGGTTTCATATCAAAATCAATTGGTTAASAGAAGAGTAGCCCACTTATAGTATAAACCCTTGTTAGATACTCTTATTTGTTTCAATGTGGGATCCTTAACATGTCCATCAAGGTCGTGGGAGTGGATATCCGTTTGAGCGYTTTTTGCTATAATATCATATTAATATTCATGAGTTYCATCTCAATTGGCAAAGAGAGGAGTAGACCACTTAGATTATTATCAACCCTTGTTARGTCTCCCTTATCTTTTCAATGTGGGATATTCCTTAACATCTTCTACCTTCACATGTTGTACTAAGAAGAAGAAAAATAATAATAATAGTAAGTTTGAATTTTCACCATGCTCAAAAGTTAAAGCGACAATCGACGTGRGTGTTTAGAAATATAACAAGAGTCAATATCGTGGGACGATGCTAAAAAATGACGAATTGATTATATCTAGAACAATAGATARCATACTTTTCTATTAGAATCTCAATAGTTTTATTGTTTAAGGGCTAGAGAAAAATAAGTCGGATTGCTTCGAAGATGTATTATTAAATAGCGTTCTCACCAAGTTATTAAATGGTACATGACAACTATATTAGGTAGGAAAAGGGCATGTAGTACTTTAAAAATGTACTATAGAAATGGTATATGTTAAGGATCCCACATTGAAAAGATAAAGGACCTAACAAGAGTTTATAATAGACATGAGCTACTCATCTCATTTGCCAATTGATTTTGAGATGGAAACCCGTGAATATTAATTGTATATGATAACTACTACATAAAGGGACAATATCCCTTACGGAAGTTAATAGTTGTAACGCCTTAGTTATAACCAACGGTCATTGGATTTCAAAAATATCACCTTGATCAATACTTTGAACTCATTCTTCCTCAAGCTAAAGGGAGTTTAACAGACGTCCAGCTTGCTCCACAAGTCTTTGAATTAAAAGGATCGAATCCCGCTCAGTTTGTGGAAACCGTTTTAAGATTGAGAGGGAGATCGAGAGATTGAGAGACCAGTTTCTTGCTAGAGTTTCCGAAACTCATTCAACCGCCGGGGAACTAAAAGAAAAAAGGGTGAGCCTCCTCTTTTTATAAGGGAGGAAGATATTTAATTAAATTAAACTTAAATTAATCAACCATATTAGAATCGAATTCTAATATCCATCTCTCATAATTTTGAATCCAATTTAAAATTGACTTTATATTATAATGTATCAACATACACTATATTAATTGCATCTCATACAATTAACTTTAATTATCTTTAACAAATTTGAACAATTCAAATTCTTTTCAAGACTAAATGTTCTCAACTATCATTTATGAGCTAGCAAGGGGACCTAATGGACCTATAGATCAGAAGTTCCAACGATACAAGATTAACTTATTAAACTCATTAACCATATCYCGGAGCGGCTTCTGTTGAGCTTATCTCGGAGGTCTCTAAAGCCTTTGGGAAGTCCTAGAGACACCTGGGGGTCGTCGTTTCTAAATCCCCCATGCGCTGGGACCCAGGGTTCTCCTTTGGTAATTCGTTCGACCACGCTTTCGTTTGGAAGGGGGATGGTTTCACGGGTATGGTCACCCAGGATGATCTCGATCAACCTCCCCACCTGGGAAGTCATCTGGGCATGGGCCGCCCTCATCTTGTTACGGAATCCATAACTCTTCCGGTGGGGATTCCCCACCTTCTTTTTGCCGAGATGTCCCACTAAGCGAAGCGTGTTGACAATGTCTCGAGTCCCCCTTGCCTTTTTCAGTGTAGGGGGAGYCGGAGCAAGTTCGACAACGATCTTGTCACGCTGACGCTTCTTGTCAACGATGTTTTCGTAGGACAACTCCTTGTCGGAGGTCATCCCGATGATGTCTTAATGCGAAGAACTAGTTTTCATTTTTTGGCTTGAAAATGTCATTCCCACAGACGGCGCCAACTGTTGACGGCTAATTTTGGTAGTGGGCCACATTGTACACAGACAGGTAGTCTGGCTTGGGATCCAGTGGGCCTGAAACCAAAGAACTCGACGTCGGTGCGGTGTCGCTCCTAAAACACTCCAACGATTAAGTCAGTAATTGGAATAGAAATAGGAATAAGACACCAGAGGTGTTAGTAACAGGTTTTTCACTTACCCGGTGAAGATAAAAGTCCCTCCTTTTATAGCCTCGGGGGCCGACCAGGAAGGACGACGGTTAGAGGTGGCAGGAATGTCGCTCGTTGTATGGCCGGACAGAAGGGAACGTGCTTCCAACAAGTGCAGAGTGGCACCGCCACCTGCGGCTTGGGGCATGTCGCCTGGGGCTATGGAATTTGCCTATCGTATCGACAGCGTGCAATTCCCAGCTACAACCTCGTACGGGGTGTAACGCATGTGGTCCACCGCTCGCTGTTGAGCGAACATGTGTGCTACTCARCGATATCCGCCTTGGGAAGGTGACTGTCAGTGGTCCCCCACCCGTAGAGGAGCAGACGCGTGTCCTGCTCGGGTTTTACCCATAACACTATTTATAGGTGCCTAAGGTAAATCTGTTAATATGTCATACATTAAAAATTGTCATTATTTGGTTCTCATTAAAATAAATACCTTAAGTTAAAATACCGTTTATTTTTGTCTCTATACTTTAATCTTTAGTTCATTTTGGTTCCTGTATATTTCAAAATTTTCATTTTAGTCCCTGAACTTTTAACTTTAGTTCATTTTAGTCCCTATACTTTCAAAATATTTATTTTGATATCTGTACTTTTACAAAGTGACCATGTTGGTCCTTTAATTTTATTTTTAATCTAATTTTTTCCATCATAATTTCAACACAACATTACATTCAATATATTTATTGAAATCTAACAATAATTTTATATTAAAAAGTTTTCATTATGTTTAGAATTTCATTTGTTTTAAATTTTTTCAAAAATACCAAAATGGTCCAGTTAAAAGTATGGGGACTAAAAAGAACATTTTAAAAGTATATAGATTAAAATGAACAACAGTTAAAAGTATAGGGACCAAAATAGTATTTTGAAACGAAGAAGAAGAAGAGGAAGACAATGAATTATGAGACTAAAAGGATAGAAGAGTTACTTTGAGTTCTTATGTAGCAACAATGATCTGCCTGAAACTTATGAAATTCATTATTGCACATAAAACTGTCAGACTTCTTGTACCACTGTTTGAGAGCTTGTTTGAGACCATATAGACTTCTCTGAAGTTTGCAAACTATTCTCTCTCGTGCCCATGTACTGTAAATCCGTGTGCTTGCTCCATGTAAATTTCTTCCTCTAAATCACCATGAAGAAAGACAGTTTTTACATTCATTTGTTCCAAAAACAAATCTTCTTCTGCAACTATTGATAATAAAGT